CTCAGGGGACTAAATGGTCATGGGAAAAATACAATAAAATAACCTAAAAAAAAGCTGTTTTCTAATAATGGAGATCTAACAGATCTAACTTATATTAGGTCTATAAGTATAATATATAGTCATAGTTAACATTGTATTTAATGATTAAATAGTGGATGTTTTTCCCCTAAAATCAGGACAGAGGCAAGGATGTATATTCATATTCTTCTAATCAACATTGTACTGAATATTCCAGTCAGTGAAATAAGTTACATAAAATGAATAAAGGGCATACAGATTGGGTAAGAAGAAGTACAATTATCTTTATTTGTCGATGACATAATAGTTTAGGTATCGACTTTTGAAGAACCCACAAACAAATATTAGAACCAATAAGCTAATTTAGAAAAGTAACAAAGCACATGGGTAATGCACAAAAATCAATTCCATTTTTATATACTAGCAACAAATAATTAAAAAATAAAATTAAGAAATTTACATATAATAACATTATAAAGTATTACTTAGGATAATTTTATCAAAAGACAAGTAAGACCTCTACACTCAAAGGTATAATGCATGGCTGAGAGAAATTAAAGATGTAAATAAATGAAGAGATATATTATATTCATAGATTTTCAGACTGAATATTTTTTAAAAGTCAGTTCTCACCCTGGCTGGTGTACCTCAGTGGATTGAGCATGGGCCTGTGAAGCAAAGGGTAGCCGATTTGATTCCCAGTCAGGGCACATGCCTGGGTTGCAGGCCAGGTCCCCAGTAGGGGACACATGAGAGGCAACCACACATTGATGTTTCTCTCCCACTCTTTCTCCTTCCCTTCCTCTCTCTCTGAAAGTAAATAAATAAAAATATGAAAAAAATAAATAAATAGAAATAAAAAGTCAGTTCTTCTCAAGTTGACCTTTGGATTCAGCATAATAAGAATTTTAATAGTATTAAAGGAAATAAACAAATTAATCCCAAATTTGTAAATTTGGATGAGGCAAAACAATTTTGGGGAAAAAAGTAAGTTTGGAAGACTCACAATATTTACCATTAACCTACAGTATTCAATATTTACCATTAACCTACAGTAATCAAGAAGGCGAATTTTGGTGACAGACAAATATAGTATATCAATGGAACACAATATAGAGAACCACAATATGTATACGACATATATATAATATATATGGAGAGAGATACCTAAATATATAGTCACATGATTTTTGACAAAGGTGTCAAATCAATTCATCAAGGAAAGGAAATCTTCAAAAAATGGTACTAGAATAACTGGATAGATGTATGGAAAAATACATCTCAATCCCTGATGCTTTTTAACATTAGATACAAAAATTAATTCAAAATGAATTATGGTCTTATATATAAAAATGAAAACTATTAAAATACTAGAGGAAACTGTAGCAGATTATTTTTGCATTTTAGAGGCAGGCAAATATTTCTTAGAACACAAAAAGCACTAAGCATTAAAGAAAAATATATAATTAATAAATTGTATTTTATCAAAACTCAACATTTCTGTTCATCAGAAGACATCATTAAGAAAATGAAAAGGCAGATCATAGTCTAGGTTGCAATAGTCACAATACATAATCTATCAGATAAAGGATTTATATCCAGAATAATTATACATACACACAATGCTATGAATCAATAAACTCCTACGAATAAATAATAAAAGCCAACTCAATATTAAAAAGGGCAAACATCACGTAGTTACTTTATAATAGAAGATACACAAATGACCACGTGAAAAGGTGCTCCATATTATTAGGTATCAGGGAAACACAAATTAAAACCACAATGAGATAGCATTTACCCCCGCTAGAATGGGAATGGCCAAAATTTCAATCCTGACAATACCAAATGTTGATAAAACTGTGGAACAACCCCTCCGCCTTATTTAGGGGAGCATAAAATGACAGAATCACTTTGGGAAACTCTTTAGCAGTTATTTGTAAAGTTATATGTACATCGACTGTATGGCACAGTAATTCCACTCCAAGGTATTTACTAAGAGAAACCAAAACTGTAGCCACAAAAAGATGGATTGGAGGATGTTTATAAAAACTTCATTCATAATAGCCTCAAACCGTAAACAATACAAATATTTATTATCAATGAGTATACAAACAAGTTGTGACTCACATACTACTAAGGATGAGTCTCAAAACACTGTGTGGAGTGAAAGAAGCAAAAACAAATTTACTATTTCACAGCACACAAACACAGGTAAAACTATTCTATGGGAAGAAATCAGTGTAGTGGTTGCCCATAGTGGGTGGCACACACACAGAAAGTGCTGATGGAAAATTTATGTGTCTTATGTGGGGTGTTGGTTACATGCCTGTGTATATTATCAAACCTCACCAAGTTACACATTTAACCTTTGGGCATTTTGCTGTATGTAAATTTTAAAAGTGAAAAATTGCTATAAACAAATACTAAACTTTAGTTAGTTGTTTTGCATTTCGCATTGTTGTAGGACAGCAGTTCTGAAACCACTTTTTCTGTATTCTGGTTGTAGGTAAATAAGGAAATATATTGAGCATGGATAGAAGATATTTCTCATGATTAGAGAAGGAAATTAAGTGTGGAAAAGAGAAGACTAAAGCAAATCATATATAATTGGGTGAGAACTGGAGGTATCAGCATGGGATCGGAGGGAAGAGAAGAGAAAACGGAGCAAAATGTCAATAATGGGTAAGTGTGGGCAAAAGGTATACGGGAATTCTTGCAAATTTTCTATCAATTTGAAATTGTGTTAAAATATAATGTTAAACATAAAGCCACAGAGAACAATAAAATGTGGAGACCTATCCAGAGACAACTTATGCAAAACGAGGAGAACACAATGAAAATGTCCTCTAATGTTTGTCTTTTATGATGATATTCCTCCAAGTCTTCAAGGGGGAAATGGAATTATAGAGTCCCATCACCCAGGTCGAGACAAAGGGCACCTAGGACAGAGGGTCTCAACATTAGCTGCACCCTAGAGTCACCTGGGGGAGCTTTAAAAATGATGCCTGGACCCCACCTCCAGAGATTCCATTCCAGTGACCTAGCATGTCACCTGGGCATTGAGGTTTTTTTTAAAGCTTCCCAGGAGATTTTACTGTGCAGCTAAGAGTCAGAGCTACTACTTTTTAAAGGAAACTGAGGACAACTTGGGTGTTCATCAAGGCAAGATGAAGTTGTAATCCATGGCCACGGAGGTGACGAAAAGGAAAATCTGGGAAAATCCAGAGGAAGAATTGGATTTATCAAGGCCGGGTGCCTGAGAGAAGGAAGCAGTTCTGTAGCAGCACCCACAGCTGGCAGTAGTAGGAGACACTGTGGATGTCCTTGCTCTGCCTTTGAAGTTCATCAAGATCTATGACGATTGTCTGGAAAAAGTCCAGCCACTGTTAATGTAATGAGAACAGGTTGCATGACACTGATGTAACCTGGCAGCAAATAGAGTGGACTGGAATGCACATGCGTGAACAGTGGTAACTTCACTGTACTAGTCAGTAGGGGGCAGTAGATGTTGTTGAGTGAGCATGTGCACTGTGTGGCCATCACATTCAAAATGAGTGAGTAGAGCAGTGATTCTGCATTAAATTTTGCGTTAAACTTGAACATTCCTCCGCAGAAACTATTTGGATGATCCAGAAGGTCACAGCTATGGACAGCTGGGGATTGGCAGCTTCATCATGACGATGCACATGCTCATGCATCATGTCTTATGCAGAGTTTCTTTGCAAAACATCAAATCACCCAAGAGACTGAGCCCCCCACTACAGCCCAAATTTGGCACCCTGTGACTTCTGGCTTTTTCCAAAACTAAAATCATCTTAAAGGAAAGAGATTTCAGATCATTGATGAGATTCAGAAAAACACAGTGAGGCAGCTGATGGCGACTGGGAGAACTGTGTGAAGTCCCAAGGTGCTCACTTTGAAGGTGACTGAGGCGTCATTGTCCTATGTACAATGTTTTTTGTATCTTCTTCAATAAATGTCTCTATTTTTCATATTACATAGCTGGATACTTTCTGGACAGGCCTTGTATGTCTGCTATATATATCTTGATCAATGTTTGGTACCAGGCAAAGTACTGTCTTCAAGGGCCAATCAAGCAGAGCAAGAAGGCACTCATAAGGCGCTGGGGTGTCTACTGAGGAAAAGTCCCCCTCCCTTGCCCCCTTGGCCACCACTGCACAGCCGGTTGAGTGTGCTTTTCTGAGTCAGTATATTTTTAGACAAAATGCCCTCTATCCTCTGGTTCCTGCAGAAGTTTTAATGAAGGTCCCTCTTAATGCCGACATCACTGTTCTTCCAAGTTTGTTTTTTTTATACCTCATAACGCTGCGGAGCTGGAGCAGGATTATCTAATTGTCATGGCGGTGCACACTCTCAAACGCTATGATAGCACCTATTCTAAGGAATAGGCTCAGCAGTCACTTGAAAAGTCAGCCATGTTATCTTGGGAATTAGACATTATTTCAGAAGGAACTGATTTTTCGTGGTTTTGCTCATGCCAAACACCGATATGCTATAGCATACAAGGCATTTATACTGAGTACCTCATCTTTCTATTTTGTTCCTTTTATCAAAAGAAAACTAGAGCCCTGGCTGGTGTAGCTCAGTGGGTTGAGTGCAGGCCTATGAACCAGAGGATCATGGTTTAATTCCCAGTCAGGGCACATGCCTGGGTTGCAGGCCAGTTCCCAGCAGGGAGCAAATGAGAGGCAACCATACATTGATATTTTTCTCCCTCTCTCCTTCCCTTCCCTTCCCCTCTAAAGGTAAATAAAATCTTAAAAAAAAAAAAAGAAACCTAGGGAAGTACTATGATTCTACTTGTTTAGGCCATCTACAGGACTTCATTATTTTATTCTTCTATGGGCGAGTCCCTTGATGTAGAACAAAGAGACTGCTCAGTTGTTTGCAGAAGAAATTGGAATAGGCTCCTGAATTATCAGAGATGTGTTCGTGAAGACCCCACTTCACATTCACCCTCAGCAGAGACCTGGTGTCCTGGGTTTGCCTTGCAGTCTGCCCTTACCTTTAGGCATCTCTGAACCCAGAGCAAGATGCTGTCCACAGCTCTCCTCAACTTGGCATTGCCTGAGATCAGGATGGCCGCGTGTCCCGAGGGGCAGGCCGCCATCACCCCAACACACACCATAACGCCGAGCTTGTTATGCCACAGCACCAGCAGCAGCACGGAGAGGAGGGCTGCACCAAATGACACCACATAGACACCGAGAAAGGAGATGAGGGATTTGAGTGCTTTGATGTGGGCCACGAGGCTGGGGTCGCGATAGTCGCTGGTCTTGGCCCTCATGGTCCGCATGTGGCGCCACAGGGACGCAATCAGCACCCCAGAAGAAACCAGAAAACACAAGAAAGGCGGGGTGGAGCCCAGGCTGCAGAAGAGGAAGGACTGACAAAAATCGAGTTTTTTCATTTGCAAATTGTGTTCTGTATAGTTCGTGGATAGCGTATACGTGGCTGTGATGTGAGATTTGCTAACAAAGTCCCAAGAACAGATGGCGGTGCAGGCCAAGGTGGAAAGGACAGTAGTAGCCAGGAGCATCCGGGAGATCCTTCTGGAGATCCAGCTTGCCAAGCAGAGCAGGAAGCCGTGAGAGAAACGGACAATCTTAGAGCAGTAGAGGAGGCTGAGGCAGGTGGCGAGCCAGAGGCCCACCTGGTTTGTGATCATCCAGAGCATGATGATGGTTTCGTAGCTGCTGCTCAGTGGGTCCTTCATCTGCTGGAACAGGGTCAGCTGGAGGGCTTCCAGAAACAGCAGCCCATGCAGAAAAAGCCGGGTGAGGCTGAGAATCAGCAGGACAAGGTCACAGTCACTCAGGGGCTGCCTCCTCACCACATCCCGAAAATTCACCAGGAAAATGAAGGCGTTCATCAGAATCCCCACTGCAAACTCCAGAACTGAAAGGAAGAGAAATACACTCTTGATTCCATAGGACACAGTTATGTTGGGAGTCAGAGTCCACATGATGCCGCTTCTTCCTAAGACTCACACAATCTGCACAGGAGAGAGGATTAAGTGTCTATTCTCAGCCAGGACCTTTCCTTCACAAGGCATTTGGCTCTTGCCCAGAATCTACGCCAAAGTGAATTCACAGAAAGTTCTGACGGGATATTGTTGCTTTAGGATACTTCATGGATACACATGAAGGCTCACTGTGAGAGTACAGAAATGATGGTTGTATCCCTTGGGCGATGCAGAAGCATTTTAAAAAAACCTTGGTCTTCCTGTGCAGCAGCCTGCCCAGGGGGCCACGACACAGCATCGTGGCTGCAAACCAGGCAGCCTTCTTACCCAAGCCCAGTTTTGCATGCCCGACTGCACCTGCATAGGTTAGGAAGAGAGTAGGATTTGCTTATGAGTTTCAAGGGAACGGGCAGCAGGCCAAGCATATGTCTTGATGAACCGTGGCTTGAAATGGAACCCCGTTGTATTTGCATGCCTCCCATTACCTCTGGGCATGACTCTAATCATAGACATTGTTTCTAATATGGACAAGTGCATGGTTTCTTCCCAGGTACCAGTGTATGACTGGTGTGACTGTGTTTGTCAGAGATGTCGTATAGACATCCTTATTATGCCAGGCACATTATTCTGAGTGGATGAGGGAATGGTGGTGTGTATTAGGTTGGCCAAGAAGTCCACTCAGTTTTTTCCATAAAGTAAAAGACACGTTTTTCAATTTCACCAATAACTTTATTGGTTTGGATATTTTGAGTATGTTGGCTATCTCCCGCTATTGGCTTCTAGTGGGTAGAGGCCAGGGGTGCTGCTAACCATCTTCCAATGCAGAAGACAGCCCCTCAGCGAATAATTATTTGGTCAAACTGTCAACAGTACCAAGAAACTTCACAAACCACTTCTGACACATTCGATCAGACACAGCACCTTCTCCATACACTGCACAAACCTTTTTCTATGTGTTTCTGTTGTGTTTTCCCTTTCTTGAAATCATAAAGTAAAATATGTCGAAAATGTTGCTTATTTTCTTCCGTTTTCAATATTAAAATGGCTACCCCCAAATTCAACAATTTTGATAAATTTTTTAGATGAATGCTGTTGTGACAGCTATCACAATACAGTCAAACAAAGTTGTTTCTAATGAAATTAAGGACAAGTAAACACTACTAGAGCCATCATACAGAAAAAAACTAAGTGAACTTTTTGGCCAACTCAGTACAGACAGTGGAATATTATTCAGCCCTGAAAGAGGATGTTCTGCCATTTACAATAACATCAGAGAAACTGGAGGACATTATGTAAGTGAAATAAGCCAGACACGGCAAGAAAAAATACTGCATCATCTCACTTATGTGTGGAATCTAAAAAAGCTGAATTCTTAGACACAGAGAATTAACAGTGGTCACCAGGGCTTGGGGAGGTGAGAAGGTGGGGAAAATGGGGAGATGTTGCTCAAGGAGTAAAAGGTTGCAGTTATGTAGCACAAATCAGTCCCAAGGATCTAATCTGCCACAGGGTATCTGTAGTTAACACTGAATCAGATATTGAAAGTTTGCTAAGGGAACAGATCTCAGGGGCTCTTACCACACACCCGCATACACTCATGACTGAGGACATGGACATGTTAATTAGCTTGACTGCAGGAATCATTTCAGTGTGTGTATCAAAGCATCATATTGTACATGCTAAATATATACAGTCTTCATTAAGAAGAACTCAAAAGGTTAAAATCTACAATAAAACAAAAAAAACATATAACATTGAGGAATAAATCTAACATAAAATATATGACATTATTGAGAAAGTGATACAAGTTATTAGTATATATATATATTGGAGAAGCCCAAATAAATATGTTCCTGTGTGGAAAAAATAATAGATACTAGTTGTTATTAACGTTGTAGTACATTTGTCCTCGATGGCCTGCATCATGCCTTTTTTTTTTTAACTTTTTTTTATTGATTATGCCATTACATTTGCTCTATTCCCCCCTCCATTCCCCTCCACCCTGCATACCCCTCCCCCACCATTTCCCCCTTTAGTTCATGAACACGTGTCTCAAATTCTTTAGATTCTGTATTTCCCCTACTATTCTTACCTTCCCCCTATCTATTTTCTATCTACTGTCTATGCTACTTATTTTCTGTACCTTCTCCCCACTTCCCCTCCTCCCACTCCCCTGTTGCTAACCCTCCATGAGATCTTCATTTCTATGGTTCTGCTCCTGATCTAGCTGTCCTCTTAGTTTGCTTTTGTTTTAGGTGTGGTTCTTAATAACTGTGAGTTTGCTGTCCTTTCACTGTTCATCTTTTTTATCTTCTTTTTCTTAGGTAAGTCCCTTTAACATTTCATATAATAAGGGCTTGGTGATGATGAACTCCTTGAATTTGGTCTTGTCTGAGAAGCACTTTATCTGTCCTTCCATTCTAAATGAAAGTTTTGCTGGGTAGAGCAATCTTGGTTGTAGATCTTTGGTTTTCATGACTTGGAATACCTCTTTCCAGCCCCTTCTTGCCTGTAAGGTCTCTTTTGAGAAATCCGCTGACAGTCTGATGGGAATTCCTTTGTAGGTGACTGTCCCCTTAGCTCTTGCTGCTTCTAGGATTCTCTCCTTCATTTTAATCTTGGCTAATGTAATTATGATGTGCCTTGGTGTGTTCCTTCTTGGGTCCAACTTCTTTGGGACTCTCTGAACTTCCTGGATTTCCTGGAAGTCTATTTCCTTTGCCATCTTGGGGAAATTCTCCTTTATTATTTGTTCAAATAAGTTTTCCACTGGTGGCTGTGCCTTTCCCCCCTTCTGGTACCCCTATAATTCGGATGTTGGAACGTTTAAAGATGTCCTGGAGGTTCCTAAGCTTCTCCTCATTTTTCTGAATTCTTATTTTTTCATTCCTTTCTGTTTGATCATTTTTTTCTTCCTTCTGGTCCACTCCCTTGATTTCAGTCCCAATTTTCTTTCCATTACTATTGGTATCCTTTGTATCACCATTCATTTCAATTAGTTTAGCTTCCATATGTTTCTCTAATTTGTGACTAAAATCAACCAGTTCTGTAAGGATCCTGATAACCAGTGTTTTGAACTGTGCATCTGAAAGACTGGCTATTTCTTCATCACTTAGGTCTATCGGTTCTGGGGCTCTGAGTTGTCCTAGAGCCATTTTTGGTCTATTCGTGCTGTTAAGTGAGCGGAGCGATGCCTTAGTTGTTTACCAGGACGGGGAGACCCAGGTCGCTGGTTTGTGACGCTGTGTGTGGGGGCGTGGTCAGAGAGGGAGCAATGTCGGTCCTCTCCGCTAGCCCAGCGCATCCAGTCACTCCACACGTCTGGGGCTCGTTTATCCGATTGGAATTGTGCAAGCCTGCTGCCCCGCTCCCTTCTCACTGGTTTCTCCGCACGTAAATGCTCTCGACCGACCCACCGCGCCCGACCCACCGCGCCTCTTCCCTGTGCGCTCCGGCAGCCAGCTTGCTCGCGATCGCGCCCTCGGTTGCCTGCGCACTCACCGCGCACCGCCCCGGGAATTTTTTCTTGCTAACCTGCTCCGCTGCTGGCCTCGCTCCTCGCTCCTCGCTCCTGGTCCAGCTGAGTATCTAGTTGTCCTTTGGACTCCGTATTGTCGATTTTCCGTGTGGCTTGGTTGTGACTGCTGTTAAAAATAGTTGTTCTTAGATTTGGTTGTGCACAGAGGCGAGGTGGTTCCTCCACCTACGTCTCCATCTTGGCGGAAGTCCTGCATCCTGCCTTTTTTCCTGCATGTCCCTTTAAGCTGTTCCTGAAGCTGAGAGTTACCTGGGAAGTCCCACTTGTTTCTGTAGACTCTTTTGTCTTTGATATGTTTTATGTTAACTAAAGCTCCTCCCTTTTGCTTATAAGTAATGTGACATAAATCAGGGCTTATTAAACATGCTCCGCTCCTCTCGTATTCTGAAATGTTTTAGTCAGACGGTCCTTCACTGTACAAGGTCACATAGCATTGAAGTTATATTTCATTCACCTATTCTGAGCACCTCATTCCGGTCTTTTTTTTCTTTTAGAATGCCAAGTCCTGAGACAGAGTTCTCTGCTTCCAGCAGAAGCTTGTTCCCGCACCACCCCTCTTAGCCCGCCAGGGGGCGGTACTGTACCAAAGGTGTTCTAGAAAGGCTTTCCTAGAGTCCAGACGGTAAGTACTTGCTCTATTGCACAAAGAGCTGCAGAGATATGTAAACACAGAGTTACAGCCACTTTTTCACGGTTATACCCTTTTATATCAAGAATCAGTAATATCCTTATGAGCACCAAATCCCGCCGCAGTCTTTCAATGATCAATAGCTATTTTAGAGATAAGTAGCAAAACCCTCATAGGTATCCATCCTCCATTTAATGTATGTGCAATCAGTGCTTGGGATTAATCTGTGTGGATGGTCTTCACCATCTGGCCGTTTTTAGAAAACTGGTCCACTCAGGAAGCTAAGAACGGCTAAATTAATCGCAGTGCTAAGAGCAGTGGCCGGAACAAAATCCTCACCAGATGTGATAAAACATTATAGTCACTTGAATTTTGCAAATAAATGGATGTTACAAATTGTATAAAATACACGTGTTTGGACATTTGCTGCCATTTCTTTTTTGGATGTTGGAATTGAATTCTCTGAAATGATCTTTAAAAGTTGCTATTGGTTGGCTTGACACAAAAAAATGTTGTTACCAGTCATATTAAACCTTGTTCCTTTAGGATGCCTTACTTAAGTGTTTCCAATGACTCACTTAAATAGAGCCAGTGGCTATACTGAATTATGTTTATTAAGAGCAAAAGTATATTTGGGAGGTTGTGATGGGCACTGAAGATGCCCTGAAGAATGAGCAATTATTTGGGGACCTGAGAGAGCACAGAAATAGGGTGCAAACCTCAGGGTAGGAGGCAGCGAGGAGCTGCCCAGAGCTACCACCTCACGCCTCACAGAATGGCTGCCACCAAAAAGACCAGAGGAAACAAGCGTTGGTGAGGATGTGGAGAAAAGAG